AATAATTTAGTAAAAATTATGTCGAATCATTGATAGAAAAGAATATACAAAATGTTCAGCAAATAAACTGAACAAAAAAAAAATATATAAAAGCGATAACTATCTGATAAATTTTGACTGGTGTCAATAGATTTTGAACACAGTTGACGACCAAGTATTTTAGTTATAGCTTAGTATCTTATCGAATTAGTATTTCATGCAATAAGTTCATCAGCTTTTAACACCGTACCCATCATCGTCAACGTTGATAATCTCTTGCATTTATATCAATAGCCCATGAGAAACATGTATGCCTTCAATTGACTCTATCTATCTTATATCGATCCTGATATCTTTTTATCTCGTCTTCTTGTGTTACAAATTGATGAAGCCATGGGTTGATGTCAGTTGCTGACTAGTGCTCTTTACTTTATCTGTATTTTAGTTCTGTTATTTGAGTACTATCTGACATGAATTCTACTCTAATCTTTATGATGATTTTGATTATGGTGCCGACTTCAAGTGTGGAATTGATAGATTTCATTTCTTCATCTATGGATTGAGTAATGGAAGTCTCCAAGCACATGTTACACGATACTCGAGCAGTTAACATATTATTGAAGGTATCAATAGAAAAGAAAAAGGAAAATATGAACGTTTGTATTTAGAAATAGATAAGAAAAAAGAAATGAAAATCGAGAAGGACACAAGCACATTTGGTTATATAAGGGAGAGAGACTTACTATCAAATTATGAGTTGCTTTTTGCTTTTCGTCCCTTTTCATCTAATTACATATCGTGATGAAATGCTGATAAGAATATTCAATTATCAAAATGAAATCTAAACAACAATAAATGTCGACCATTTATTTTATTTCAGGTTTACCTGCAACACTGACTCAGAATTATCCTTTACAAACATCTTCATCAATTCCATTGATTCTAGAAGAATTTTGATAAAACATCTAATATGACTCAATAAATAGGAAATGCAGTCATTCCACCAATATATAATCCTCATCTATGTGATATTTTTGAACAGTGTTGACAAATAAATCTAGATAGACGTCCTACTCTTCAAGAAATTTCACAACATCCTTTTTTAGTTTCTACATTAATTCATAAAAAGAAGTTGTTAACTCTTGTTTCATTGTTGGTCTTTTGTTGATATTATACTATTTGATTTTTTTACTGTTACTTTTTAATTAATGAATTTTTCTTACTTCATATGAAATAGATTAATTTTTATCACGCACAGAAATTTTTCTATGCATTTTTTAATATGTTCTAGTTTATTTTATCATTTATAACGAGTTGTACACAAGAAGTTTATATACTATTATCGTATTTATAGTATTCTTTATTAGATGGTAGTCGTACATCAGTTATACTAATTGTACAACTATCATCAAGACGTTATGCTCTTGAATCATTTACTATTGAATAAACTCAACAAAAGAAAAGAAACTGTATTTTTATTCTGAAAAATGAATATTAAAAGTATAATGCAGCAAAACAAGATAGAAGATGTAAAAAAAATAGTATCGAATAATAAGTCGAAAAGAGACACAAGGATGATACACAGAGGAAAAATAGAAGTTTAAGGGGACGTTGTATTTCCTATGATATGAATTTCTTGATTTTTATGATGGTTGTTGTTGCTGCTGATAAACAAGTATACAAGCTGCTTTACTGATAACATCTTTTACGTTAACATCTGATATTTTTGAATCATTGAATGTATGCCATTGTTTATCAAGAGAACTTTTTGCATGTGTTGTATAATGTTCATCACTGAGATTTCCTATACGATTACAAACAGCAATTAAATCGTATTTCGCTTTCGCTTTTTCAGCTGGATTTAGAACAAATTGTGACAAATCTAAATCCTGAATTGGACAATCAATCAATAAATCAATATCATCACGAAAATAACGAATATAATTAACATCTTTTAATTTGATAATTAAAACTTTTGGTAAAAGCCATAAATCAATTTTTTTTGTAGCCTTTTTTAATGCGTTACATTGTGGACATATCCATAAATCACTTTTAGGTAATACTTTCTTTTTTGTAAAATAATTAAACCAATCGAATAATGTTACTGATTGTTTTTGTTGACTACATATTTGAATAGCAGAGGCAACTGATGAAGCATGATTTTTATCTGAATATTTCCCATCTTCTTCTTCTTCTTCTTCTCGTTTTTTGTATTTTTCAACAATTGATGATGCAACATCAACAACAAGTATTGTAGTTTTACCATTAAAATCAATATGATCATCAAGACATGAGTGTAATAATTTGTATGTACCAGTATAATTTTGATTGATAAGCAATGAAGTAGTATAAAGTGGTTTATCTGATGATTCCGTTGGAGATAACGGAAGAAAATTACCGATTGTTTTCTAAAAAATAAATCATAATAAACAGATGATAAAGTATTTCAATTCTTTAGAATTGTACTGTGTTTACTTGCAATTCTTCTTCTATATCACTTCCTTTACAATTATGTCTTGGTATATTAACATAAAAAGGTAAACCAAAATTTTTGTGATTTCGATCATCTTCTCGAAATACACATGGCATTAATATTTTATCGTTATTTTCTTTTTTTAATGAAACAGGTATTTCATAAAAAACAATTTGATCACATTCAACTATA